CAGAGCCACATCAGCCAGGGCTAATTGTCTTATTTTTTTCTTTTGCCTAGTATTCATGCAAAAATCACTAAATTATTTTTTTCTGAATGCTTCAGCATTTCTAATATGGCTCTCAAAACCATCAGATTCTTCTTTTTCCTGGAGACCTTCCTCCTCTCCTCCGATCTGGTGGCTCTGTGCTACATAGTTCTAATCCAGGAAGTTCTTTTCACATCTATCCTGGGATTTTCTTCTCTTTGCTATTGTCTTGTGTTGAGTTCTTTGTTGTCCTGACCCCCTTTAATTTTTTTTCTTGATTTGCTTCCATGGCTTTTGGAGCACATTCTCCTGTAACTACTACTTCTATTTCTTCCTCTACCTCCTCCTTCTCTTTTTCTTCAGTGTTATTGAGACATAATTCACATACCATGCAATTCACCCTCTTAAAGTGTTCAATTCAGTGGCTTTTAGTTTATCCACATAGTTATGCAACCATCACCATTATCAATTTTAGAACATTCATCACCCAAAAAAGAATGTTAAGGTCACTCACCTGTTAGTAGTCACTATCCATTTCCCTGCATTCCTCCCAGCTCTTGCCAACCACCAGTTTACTTTCTGTCTCTAGATTTGCCTATTCTGGACATTTCATATAAATGGAATTATATACTATGTGGTCCTTTGTGATTGACTTCTTTCACTTAGCATAATGTTTTCCAGGATCAACCCTAACCAATACTGTCGGTGGGTTGGGCTGTGAAAGAATTCACAAAGAGAAGAAAGTGCAGGGAGTAAAGGTTTTATTTTTACTTTCCTAAGGGAGGGAAAGGGCTAGGTGCAGAGATATGCGCCAGCCCAGAGAGACTAGGGCTTTTGGACTTTCACCGTGTAATGGGGTGGGTTGTAAAGCACAATGTTTCAGTTGGGCTGCTGGTCAGGTCCTTGTGGTCTGGTGTGTCCTATTTTGTAAGTTCCTGGAGCCTCTGTCTCTTCAGGATATTTCCAGTCATTTTCTAGTCCTGGGCATAAAGGCTCACGAAACAATTAGGGTCAGTCATTCTTTACCAGGTCCAGCTGGTCCTGGGAAGGAGGGCCTGAAAAAGTGGCTTTTTTTGTCTTATTAAGTACTGCATTTTTTTAAATGGCTGAATGTGTCATTGCATGGATATACCATATTTTGTTTAGCTGTCTATGAGTTGGTAGACATTGGAACTGGGTCGTTTGTCCTGTGAAGTTTCCTATGTCATTGATTTTACTGATTGCAAAGTCATTTTATTTGTCCCCTCTATTTTTGTAAGTTGGTGCTTAGTTCTAGATGAGGTTTGATAAGGTTTAAATTCACGTTTTTTTTTTGCCAGGAGTATATCACAAGTGGCAGCACTTCCTCAGACTTTTTTATTTTGATCTTTTTCTTCTTGTCAGAGGTCATTTCCAAATGTCTTATGATTCTTGACTGTCCATTTATAATTAAGTGTTAGCAACTGAGAAGTTGGAAGCTCCTAGTGCCTGAGCAGGAGATAGAGGTCTGTGAGCTTCTCTAGGGGCAAGCCTGCATTTTCACAGATAGAGGTGGGGCACAGATGTCAGAATCTGGAGGTCTGCTAATTCTTAGCTTCTTCTGAGGGACACTCTTTCAGTCTCCTACTGGGAGGTACCAGTGCAGCTGCCAGAATTCTGGAATAGGAGGAGTGGAGGGGTCGGCCGTATCCCTGCCTGGCCAGGTTGAGGAGAAGATCAGGGGCCCCAAATGCTCACCATATAGACTTTCATTCAGTCCTCTCATTTGCGGCCTGTGGCTTGGGTTCTGGGAGCCTTTCCTTGTTTCTCTTCTTTGCTTTTCTGGGATTCTTTTGGTTTGCTTCTCTCTGGTATCCCATGCAGTCAGATTTTACTTCCTCAAATCTGTTAGTTCAGTTAATTTTCCTTTTTACACTTTCTTGTTGGAAAAGTTTGTGGAGATCTTTCATTTCCTATGATCTCCTCTCTCTGTTGTATACCTTTTTATTCTTTACTGTCATCTCAGGTGGGCAATCTATACATTTAACTGGAAATCCTCACTGAATAAGCTTTATTTTGGGGGCTTTTACATTTGGTTATCATTAATGTGTACTCCAACTCAGAAGCAAGTTCATACTCATATCTTTACTAAGATCAAACTGGTGACCTAGTCTTTCCAGTATTTATACATCTCACCTCTCAGGTTCCAAACATTGTTTTAGATGCTGGAGATACAGTGGTGAGAAGGATTTGGCTTCTGTTTTCATGGAATTTATCCTCGAGTCGGGGAGGCAGGTATTACAATACAAATAGTTAAAGTGTTGGGACAGAGTGTGTAACAAAAGGGAGCCTTTGACCACAGATAACATTCTATAGAATCATTATAACAAGACATAAACCCAAGGCAATGACCCATTTATTATGGCAGAATTTTTCCCAAAATCCTTATTTTAATCATTCTTTCATTTATTTACAGAAATAGTCACTAATGATGACCATCAGTTGTAGTGTGATACCAAAAAGACTAGGACATAGATTTGATATCAGTGAGAACTATTGATTTTGTATGGGGATAAACACTTTTCTGGTTAATTCCTTGTCTGATTGTCATTGAAATAATGACCTTGATTTTAAAGGATGATTTCTTTCTTTTACAATAGAATGAATGTATGACAGTTACTCAAGATTGGTCACATCTACTCTGTTAGCTTTCCTTCACCATTTACTTAAATCTTACTCCTTTGTCTTACTACTTATGTCTTTCCAAAGGCTGCGGTAACAAAATACCAGATGTCTTCAGACAACAGAAATTTATGTAGTGCTGGAGGCTAGAAGTCTGAAATCAAGGTGTCAACAATACCATCCTCTTTCTGAAGGTTCTGGTGGAGGATCTGTTCCATGCCTTTCTCTGAGTTTCTGGTGTTGCCAGCAGTCCTTGGTGTTCCCTGGCTTGCAGACACAACACTCCAATCTCTTCTTTCATCACCACATGCAATTCTTGCTGTGTGTCTGTCTTCACCTGCTATTCTTCTTTCTGTGTGTATCTGTCCCTGTGTCTCTTTTTATAAAGATGACAGTGATATTGGATTAATTGCCCATCCTATTCAGTATGACCTCATCTCAACTTACCTCAATTATTTCTGCAGAAGACTCTGTTTCCAAATAAGGTCACATTTATAGATACTACAGGTTAGGACTTCAGCATATCTTTTGTGGGGACAGAATTCAACCCACAACATTGCTATTCCTTTCACATGTTATTTATTCCCTTCATAATGAATATTATTGGTAGAATTATCACCAAATGAAAGTGAAAACTGTGCACAATATTCCACCGCTATTCAAAAACTGCCCAAAGATTCTTATAGGTGACATTGACAACCAGTTTAATCTTGGGGATAAAAAGAAATTTGGTGGGGTGTAAGGGGCTTAAATGGTAATGGAAAACATACATAAAGATTAAATTAAAAAATTTGGTCTCTACTGGTGTTCTTATGAAGGGAAGTTGAAGTTCTTGGAGCAACATCTGGACAGGAAGAATGAGCCAATCATAACTTTCTGAGTGTGGCTCACTCTCCTAGTTTCTTTTCTTAGAAAGCAACCTTTAGAAAGTGCAATTAAAACTATTTCAAATCAGGGACCTTGCATGTTCATTTAGTGTTGAATTAAGAAGGAAGGGCATAGACTCATGGATGGAAGACAGATGGCAGCTTGTTGCAGTGGGGGTGCTTGGGGAGGTGGAGGGATTGAGCAAACCAGAAAAAGGACACATGGATGTGGACAATAGGGTAGTGATCGCTGGGAGGAGGGGTGCAAGGGGACTAAATGGCAATTGAGAAAATAATAAAGATTATATATCTTTAAAAAAGATGGGCACAGACTTCTGGTCAAGATGGTGGCATAGGGAAACAACAGTAGAGTGGCTGAGGCTGGGAATCAAATCAATAATTTGGAACATAAGGAAGGAAAAACAACCAATCAGAACAAGAAGAAGAAAAATAATCCAGAAAAAAAAAAACAAGGATAGTGTAAGCAATCTCTGGAACAACTTAAAGTATTTCAACATTTGCATCATAGGGGTGCCAGAAGGAGAAGAGAAAGAGTAAGAAATTGGAAATCTATCTGAAAAAATAGTGAAAGAAAAATTCCCTAATTTGGTGAAGGAAATAGACATGCAAGTCCAGGAAGCACAGAGAGTCCCAAAGTGGATGTGAAGATATCCACACCAAGACACACCATAATTAAAATGCCAAAGATTAAAGATAAAGAGAGACTCTTAAAAGCAGCAAGAGAAAAGCAGTTAGCTGCCTACAGGGGAGTTTCCATAAGACTGTCAGCTGATTTCTCAAAAGAATCTTTGCAGGCTAGAAGGGATTGGCAAGAAATATTAAAAGTCATGAAAAGCAGGGACCTGCTAGCAAGATTGCTCTAACCAGCAAAGATACTTAGAACTGAAGGACAGATAATCTTCCCAGAAAAGAAAAAACTAAAATTCATCATCACCAAACCATTATTATATGAAATATTAAATAGACAAAATTTAATAAAACGATCAGAACTGTGAACAATAAAATGACAATAAATACATTACCTGTCAACAGCTGAATCTAAAAAACAAAGTGAAACAAGAAGAACAGAGACAGAATCATGGGCACAAAGAGCATTTTGTTGGTTGCCAGATGGGAGGGCATGAGTAAAGAGGTGAGGGGATTAAGAAATACAAATAGGTAGTTACAGAATAGCCATGGGGGACGTAAAGTACAGTATAGGAAATGGAGGAGCCAAAGAACTTATACACACGACGCCTGGACATGAACAATGATGTGGGGATTGCCTGAGGGAGTGGGGGGTGCTGGGTGGAAGGGGGGGAAGAGGGAAGATCATGACAACTGTAATAGCATAATCAATAAAATATATTTTTTTTTTAAAAAGGAAGGGTCGGAGAGGAGCTGGCATGTAGCTGTTAGAAATGTGGATCCTAAGAGTCTTCAGATAATTTACTCTTATTCCCTTTTTTCTTATAGTTAGAAGAGAAGATAAAAAATTGATTCATGAAGAATCTGCTCAACAAGAAGTGTATATTAAGCCACTGGTTGAATTTCCATCAAAAAGAGATTAAGCGTGAGAATGGAGAGGAAGGTTGACTCCAGGTGAGTGATGGGATTTTCCAAAAAAGCCACCCCAAAAGAAACAATACTCCCTCCCCCCCCCCCTCTATAAAAAAATAAAATACTTTTATTAAAAAAAAAAAAAAAAAAAAAAAAAGCCACCTGAACTGTGGCTCATATAAAAGCCTGTAAATATTTTGTGTGTGTGAAAATAGTAAATAATAGAAAAAAGGTTTTTTCCTAAATTATGAATGGTGAGATACGAAGTTTGAGTAAGGAATTTTTGTTGATTTTAGGTTTCTCATCCAAAGATCACTTCATAACTTACATTACAGTCAAAAACTGTTTTACATGTGTGGAATTATCTATTGTTAATGTTTTGATTTTGATTCATTTATTGAGCCAGACTTTGCACTGGGTGCTGGGGCTACCACAGTGAATAAAACAGACTGGCCCATCTTCTCTTAGAGCCCACGGTACTCAGGGACGTGCCGCAGTGTGACAGGTTTCTGTGCTTTGCAGAGAGTCCTGAAGAAACAGCCTAACCTCCCTGCCAGCAAGGTGCCTGGGTTGGGGAAGATTACTCTGAATGAGTTCTTACAGGGCATGAATGACTAGTGCCATGAGGGAGGTTGCAGTTGGTGTCCCAGTTGCATCCTGGTTAGATACAGGAGGACTGGAAAATGTCAGGCCAAAATTGAAACAGGTTATAAAATGGCCCTTGAAACCTCCAAGTCTCACCTGAATGGGTATTCAGCCACCTGAAGGAATTCTTTGGTATGGGCCACCCGGATACTCTAAAACACTAATTGCAAAGGCTTTGGCCAGTGAAGCCAGACTGAATTTCTTAGCCATAAAGGAACCGACATTCACGAATACATGTGTTAGTGAATCTGAAAGAGCGGTTGGAGAGATCTTTGGAAAAGTGAGAGTGCTGACTCCTTCCATTATTTTCCTTGATGAACTGGATGCCTTAGCAGTCGGAAGGGGCAGTTCTTCAGCTTCTGGGAGTACATAGGGCCGACCTTGTTTTGGCTCAGCTCCTAATGGAAATGGATGGCATTGGACAGTTAAAGGATGTGACAGTTTTGGCAGCTACTAACTTCCCTAATGTTGTGATGCGGCCTGGAAGAATTGATAGAATTGTCTATGTGCCTTTACTGGATGCAGCAACAAGGAGGGAACTGTTCAACCAGCAGTTTCTCTCCATGCCTGTCAGTCAGGACATTGATCTGGATGAACTCATTCTCCAAGTGGACACACATTTGGGAGCAGAGATCAAAGCTCTATAGAGAGGCAGCCCTTCTGGCTCTGGAAGAAGACATTCTAGCCAACTGCATTAGGAGAAAACATTTACTCAAGCTTTGAGTACTGTGACACTGAGAATTCCTGAGTCATTGAGACTCTTCTATGAAGATAATCAGGAGAAGGGTAGACACCTACCCTTCTGAGAAAACATACATATTTATTATGCTAAAAATGCTTTGTAGAGAAAACTTGTTTTGTTTTTATGTTTTGTCTTGATAGTGTCAAGAAAAATCCTCAGTGGATTCAGTGCCAGCCTATGAACCAAAGGGCCACTGGTTTGATTCCCAGTCAGGACACATGCCTGGGTTGCGGTCCAGGTCCCTAGCCGGGGGTATGCAAGAGGCAACCAATTGATGTTTCTCTCACACATCTATGTTTCTCTCCTGCTTCTCACTTCCTTCCTCTCTCTCTGAAAATAAATAAATCTTAAAAAAAAATCTTTAACAAGCAAAAAGTCTGAGGTATGTTGACTGGAAGTAAGGGGCTTCAGCTCTTGTAGACACTTAAAGTCATATGGATGCAATGGAAGTGACTGTGAAAATCTCTGGACAGGAGTTTTAAATCAGTTTTGTCTGGAGTTGTGAGCTGAGTTTTAAAATGCAGACTTCTAGCTTTGTCATTTTGGGCCTGGTTGCTTCATCCCATGAAATACTTTCCTTACTCCAGAGTCCATGTCAATACTGTCCTTAATGCCAAACTCGTGGGCATCAGTTTAATACAAGAACATAGATAAATAAGCACGTGGGTGAATGCATGGTAGAAAATATTTACAAAAACTTTATTTCTGAAGGCCGAACAATGAAATGACCAAATAAATGCACCACCCAGGCTTATGTGGCCTTGTTTCCAAATACGTATTTGTTCTCATTATAATTCATACCTGCTTTTTTGTTTAGGCTTCTTGGACTTGCGACAATTAAAGAACTAAGAGTTATTGTGTATACCCTAATGCCCTTTGTAAGTGTATTTATTTATTTTTTTTACTTGTCCTCTCCCCCCAGTTCTCTCTAAGTTTAAAAAATTGAAAAGGTAAGCCCAGCCCAGGCCTAGAGCATATTTCTCTTTCTCTTATTTTTTTAAAAGATTTTATTTACTTACTTTTAGAGGGAGGGGAAGGGAGGGAGAGAAAGGGAGAGAAGCATCCATGTGTGATTGCCTCTTGTGCACCCCACACTGGGGACCTGGCCTGCAGCCCAGGCATGTGCCCTGACTGGGAATCAAACTGGTGACCCTTTGGTTTGCAAGGCCACACTCAGTCCACTGGGCTACACCAGCTAGGCCAGACTTTTTTTTCATAAAATGCTGTAACTAAATCACATGAAATGTTTGTGTTTTAACTTGTGCATGTTTTCTGATCACCAATAAACTTTTCAGTTAAAAGGTAAAAAAAAATTTTAATTTTGAGGAGGAATGAGGATGATTATCCTGAGGTTAGAAGTTATAACATCTACCCTAAGAATCCTGAAACATCAGTATCAAAGAACCTATGCACCACAATGTTCATAGCAGCACAATTTACAATAGCCAAGAGTTGGAAGCAATCTAGGTGCCCATCAGTAAATGAATGGATAAAAAAATTGTGGTACATATACACAATGGAATTCTATGCAGCAGAGAGAAAGAAGGAGCTACTACCCTTTGCAACAACATGGATGGAACTGGAAAGCATTATGCTGAGTGAAATAGGGCAGGAGTTGAAAGACAAATACCATATGATCTCACCTTTAACAGGAAGCTAAACAACAAAACAAACAAGCAGAAAAAAACAAAGACACCGAAATAGAGAACAAGGGGACAGTGACCAGAGGGGAGAGGGAAGGGAATTTAAGGGGAAAAAGGGGGAGGGATTTGGAGGAACAAATAGGAAGGGCACAGGGACGAGAACTAAGGGGGGGTGGAAATGGGAGGGAGGTGGGGAACACGGGGCGGGGGAGGCTGGGATGGGAGAAATAGACAAAAAACTGTACTTGAAAAATAACTAAATAAAAATTTTAAAAAAAGAAGTTATACCATCAAGGCCTGCTGGTTGTTGTATCTCTCCCCTGCTTTTGATCGTGGCTACTTTCAGCCTGCATTAAGGTGTTCAGTAAACTTACATTAAATGAATAAGAGGTGCGAATGAGTGTGTATGTATCTCTCTAACATCTGAAGCCTTTGTGGATCTGTTGTTTCCATTTTCTTCATCATGGGATCTAGCTTCTTCATGTGCTGGACATGGTGTATTAAAAATTATGTATAGAGCCCTGCCTGGTGTGGCTCAGTGGGTTAGGCATTGTCCTGCAAGTTGAAGGGTCACTGGTCAGGGCACAGGCCTGGGTGTGGGTCAGGTGCCTGGTTGGGGGAATGTGAGGGACAACCAATCAGTGATTCTCTGGCACATCGATGTTTCTCTCCCTGTCTCCTCCTCCTCCCCTTTCTCTGTTAAATAAAAATTAAAAGAAATTATGTATCGGAATGTCTTTAGGCTTATGATGAAGATGGCTTCTTCCAGGAATGAATTACATTTCCCTCTGTTAGTCTCCTCAGTATATTAATGGTCAGGAATCACCTTTAACCAGTTTTATGGCTTGTAATTCTCTGACTCTGGTAAAAGCCAGACCAGAAATTCCTGCCAGACTGCAATAGTTTCCATCCACCCATACCCTCAATGTTGTGTGTGGCCCCTGAGTCTTTTGGAGGTGGACTTGTGTTCATTAGACTGATGTACAAACTAGAATGGCAGTTACTTTGAATCATTCCCATGGATAAAAGTACCAGTCTTTTTAGTTTATACTGAGAATTATAATTGCTGGGGAAACCAGCAATGTATGCCACCTCTCTCCCAGGAAGGCCCTCGATGCAGGAAACCATATTACATTTAGAAGAGTTCTTAGGGAGTTTGAAGTCAAAGTTTGGGAACTTAGTTGGTGCTTCATCTCCATGACTGCTAGAGTGACATATCAAAATGCAAATCTGACTGTGACTCTTTTTCTACTTAGAAGTCACTTAGAGTCACTTTCCAGTCACTCTTGTTGCCTTTGGGCTCCAGTCCAAGCTCCTTAGCTTTTTTTCAAGGGCTTCTCCACAGCCCATTTCCCAGCCTTTTTTTTTTTTTTTTTTTTAACTGCTCCATGCCTCATATTCTGTTTCCAATAATAGTCCCACTCTGTAAGTTTGGATTAGCTTCAGAAACATCCAAAACAGCAGATGCTAAACAAGCTGAAGTTACTCCCCTTTTACATGTAGGAAATCTGGGGGTAAGCGGCCTAGAGCTGTTGTGATTGTTCTGTCCAACAAGGTCCTCGTGGGCCTGGAACCTTCCCCTTCTCCACTTTCCCATATCTAGGATGTGGTCCTCATTCTCCCAGTCCAAGGTCACAGCCATTCTGGGCAGCACAGTGGAGAAAGAAGAAAAAGTGTGCATTTGCTGGCTCTTAAGACAGATGACTGGAAGCTGGCACCTGATGATCCTACCTTAATTTCAGAAGTTAGTAGCAGGGGAGCCTGAGAAATTTAGTCTTTATTCTGGGCAGCCACGTGCCCAACCAAACATTTATTCTGTGGAAGGAGGAGAGGGTAGACAGCGGTCGTTTGTTTTGTCCTTCTTGCACTTGCTGTAAGCTGTCCACATCTTGTTTGCTCATTGTGCGACACGTTAGCATTGAATACATATTTGTCTTTGTAGCCGTAGGCCTGCCTTTGTTGTAGGTTCTTAATACTGAGTGGATAAACATGCTACAGGACACATCTATGAA